ATTTATCATGCATCAATATTAAAAAAGAAAATACTTAAAACAACAAAAATAATAATATAAAAATATTTAGAAAATTAAAAAAAAAAATTTTACCTGAACCGAACCGGTCAACAGTTCGATCAATGTTGATCTGGATCGGTCTGACCAGTTCTACAGTTCAGTTAATGGTTCGGTCCGACTCAAATCAATTCAATTGAACCGATCAGTAACTATTGGAAAAACGGGTCTACAAGTCAGATTACACGGATCTCAGGTCGGATTCGAGTCAACGCGCGGATCCTCTTTGGCCTAAAACAACGTCATTTTGCTCCTTAGTCTTTTATATATAACTGAAATTTTTTTTTTTGGTTCATTTTTTTGTGTTTCAGAAAAAAAAAAAAAAGGGAGAGCTTCAGAGCTCTCTTGCGTCTGGTTGTTGAAACACCACGTCGGCAGCCGCCTGGGTTACCGTCGATGGTCGCTGTCAGTGGTTTTCAATCGTCGAAAAATGTAAAATTTATTCTAGCAGCTTTCTTCAACACCTTTTTTCCAAATCTGACTTTTTTTTTCATCGAAAACAGCCTCGATCGTCGTAGATCGGGGCTTGAAGTTTTTTGCCTTTTTTTTTAAGACTAAAATTGATCTGTTTTCTTTATTTTTGCAAGGAGCTCGGTGCTGAGGTTCATCCCTATGTGGAGGATTGTTTGTCTTTGTTTTTTATTTCTGTTTTTGCGTTTCTATTTGGGTATGGGTTTAGTGTGGTGTTTAGGGTTGTTGAAAGAAGAGGTTTTGAGGATCTGTTCGAAGGCTTTTCGAGAGGATTTGTTCCTTGTCTAAGAGTTTTCGAAAATGGGGGTCTGAAGGTTTTTGAGAGAGGGGTCTGAGAGAGCCAATCAAGGGGAAGAAGTTAGAGCTTTTTAAGGAGTTCAAAAGGGAACAGGTAGTGGCAGGGTGGCTGTAGGGTGATTGTTTAGTCTGGTGGCTAGACAGGGGGCTAGTCGGGTAGGAGAGTGGGCGGCTAGTGGGTAGTGGAGATGGGTTGTAAGGTGGCTGGTCGGGGGCGACAGTAATGCCGTACACCAGCCAACCTACTTTCTGTTTTTTTTTCTTATTTTCTTTTTATTTTTTTTAATAATTAATTATTTTTAAATATATATTTTTTATTATTATTATTAATTTTAATAATAGACCCAGACAAAATCGATGTCTATAATCAAAAACAAAAAAAATAAACTACAATAGTTAGAAATCCATCCCTTGTAACAAACCTCTCTTTATAAAATATGTTTAGCTAAAAACCTTTCTTCTCTTTTGGTAATTCCATCTTCCTTCTTTCATAGTTAAAGCTTTAGCTTCATATTTTTCTTCAAGCTATTTCATAGTTTGCAGTGATACAAGTTAAGTATGCTCTGCAGTTACCATAATATTATGGATCATCTGCATCAGAAATAAGTGATGAGTCATAGTGATGAGTCATAGTGATGAGTCACCTTACTTTAGCTTTATGTCAAGTCACTTGTAAAGTTATAATTATACTTTATCCTAACCTTGTCCTGTTAGGTTACTATTCTTTTACTTTTCTCTTGTATAAATAAGATGCTACTTCTTTAAGAAGATATCATCATCAAGAAAAATCAAGAACGAGAAGAAGAAAAATCCTTTTTTTATAAAATATGTTTGGCTAAAAACCTTTTTTCTCTTTTAGTAATTCTATTTTCCTTCTTCCACAGTTAAAACTTTAGCTTCATATTTTTCTTCAAGCTATTCCATAGTCTGCAGTGATACAAGTTGAGTATGCTCTGCAGTTGCCATAATATTATGAATCCTCTACATCAAAAATTTTTGTTAAACTGTTAAACAGATCATTAATCCCTTCCCCTCAGCCAAAGAAAAATTATACTAACTCAAGATTATACTAATAGTAAGTTACTATAGTGAAATATATATCTCCATAAAAGTCAGGCTTCCAGTTCGACAAATTGCTCTAATTGGTTCAAATTTAATTATTTATTTTATGGACTAAATCCCTTGAGAAAACTTGTATCGATATCTCAATTTCAATGCAAGCATGAGTTTGATCCACACTCTATTTTTTGAAAAATATTTAACATATATATTTTTGTCAAACTTCGATCTCGATATATTATTCAAGACAAAAGATAAAAGCTGCTAAAGGCAAAAATAAAAAGTATTTTTTATATTTGTATTACGAGATATAAGTCAAAATCGATGAAATCAAAAATGAAAATAGCATGAATTTGTTTTAATGGTGTCTAAACTTTCACATAGTAAAGGTGATATCGAGTTGATATAACATTAGATGTGTCAAATCAATTTGATATGTTAAATCAAAATAAATGTTAAAATTATTTATGATTATTTGTCAAAGGCTTTTAACAAAAAAAAAATTACTATACCTTTTTTATCTCTAAATATTCCCAAATAATACAATCTTTGTCTAAGGAAATGGGTCGAGAAATGGTGGATGTATAAAACCTTTTAAAGAGATTCTGCTTTTTCAACTTTCTCAAAAAAAAAAAAATCTATTCTAAACAAACATGACATGGTTTCTTACTTTGATAGAGTATAAATATCTAAATTTGATATTTTTTTGATATTTTTTCTGATTTATTGTTAATACTAAGTAACAGTAAAAATTTTTATCAATTTTTTATGATAATGTGTTAATTCAGTGTTTTGGTCAAAAATAAAAAAGGTGACGTGGATTAATATTAGTCATAGATAGTTTACGCAAAATGATTGGAGATGTCCATTGATTGATTTTAGTAGGGGAGTCTCAAATCTCAATTTAATTATCATACGAGTATTTGAATTAATAAATATTAATTTAATTATCAATTACTGTATTTAATATAAAAGCATTATTATAAACAACATATTAACTAGCTTTAAGATTTCTTTTAGTGCTTTCGTCAGCAAAACCCATTTACAATAGAAAATTAATTTATGTATTTTTTTGAAAAAAAAAATTAATGTAAAATTAATTGAATATTTTGGTTAAGAAAAAAAATTTTAGTATAAAAAAGATAAAGACTTAAGAGAAATTAAAAAAATTACAAATATTAAAGATCAAATTCTAATGTGGTTAGAATCTAACTTTTAACAATTTAAAAAATATAGGATGAAAAAATATTAAAAGTTTTTTTATTTGAGATTTTTTAATATCCGATAATTATTTTAGATTTTAATTAATTCAAATTTAAATCAAATAGATCTTATAAGAGAAATAAATTATTTCAAATTTATTTTATTTTATTCACAAAACTCAAAATTAAAATTTTATTTTGAAAAAAATTGACCTTTGAACTAATATATATTAGTTATTGAAATTTTTTTATAACATATTAAGAATTTTTTTCAACCATGCATATGCTTCGTAGGATGAGAAAATATATATTATTTTGTAACAAAAATATATATAAAAAAAAAAAACCTTAAAATTGTATGCACTACACCAAAACCAATATATTGGACTATAATATTGATACATAGATCTCGAGACAAAGATTAAAAATATATGAAGAGTTGGGCATGAATCAGTCAACCAAAATATTTTGTAATTATATATGGCAACAAACACAGTATTTTTGGCTACAATTTTAAACGATTCTTCGTCGTTTTTTATTCCCTTTAACCTCCCCTAGTGGCAACCTAGCTTAGGTAAACCATCAACATCTTCTCTTTTGTTTTTTCTTCTAACAATATTAACTCTATATTTGAATTGAGGGGAGGATAAGGAAAAATAAATAAAAGAAAGTAATGAAAATAAAAAAAATAATTTTTTTGTTTGGATAAATTTTTAATTAAAAAAATAAAAATAAAATAATTTTTTGTTTTACTTGTAATTTTTATTTTTTTAATATCTCAATTTAGAAGAAAAATTAAGAAAACAAAAGTTAAAAAATTTTTATTTTTATAAATAGATTATTATATCCATATTTTTATTATAATATTAGATTTAATTATATAATTGACATTTTTTATAAAAATATTTTTTTATGAGTATTTTATATAATATCACAGTTTATAAATATTTTATAATTTTTTAAATCTTAACAATAAAATAAACTAAATTATTGTCAGAATAAATTAAAAAATTAAATTAAACACAAAATTAAAAATAAATCAATAATTAACTAATACATCTTATCATAGTAAATATATTTAATTTTATTTAAAAAAATTTATTTATACAAATTAAATAATATAAAAATATATTTATATATTATATGTTGCTTTATAAAAAAAGTTATAATTAAAAAAAATTATAATAAATTATTTCTTTTTTACTATTTATCTAAATAATAATTATTAAAATTTATTTTTTTATTATCCAAATAAAAAATATATGTATTATTTTTTAAAAAATTTTATTTTTTATTAATATTTATCCAAATATAACATAAAACTTAAGTCCATATTATTTAACTTGGCCGTCGCCCGTCAGCACGGACTCCCATTCCTTGCCCTTTCGGTACCACCCACTTCTTTCAACATTCAACAATATAAAAAAAAAAAAAAAACTTAGCTACAATTAAAATATATTTAGCGACGGCTGCAGTCCCATGATCAAGCCATCCATGGTCTTTATCCTTTTTTTTTTTATTTTCTAAAAATTTTTCTTCAAGCCATTAGCCATCCGGGGTCTTTATCAATCTATTGTCCTTTCTTGTGAAATTAGACTTCTTCAAAGAAATCATTTTCCCCATGATCAAGTTGCCATTGTTTTCTATACGCGTAAATTACAACTTTGGTCAATGATGGGTGAATTTTTAAAATAATTATTGAATTATTAAATTTTTTAATTTAATTATTAAAATTTAAGTAAATGTTTTTTTATCACCAATCATTAATCTCTAACAATGTATTAACATAAAAATATACATTAATTGTCAAGTGGCACCACGCCATTAGAGATTATGGGTGACAAAAAAAAAACATATATTTTAAATTTTAATGATGAAATTAAAAATTTTAATAATTAAGTAAATATTTTAAAATCATAATCATAATTAGATCACCACTGGGATATTTTATCCAAAGGAAACTTCGTAAAGGAAAATTGAGTTGCCTTTTTCAATATCTTATTGGCTGCTTCAAGTTTATGAACAAGCTCTCATTCATTTATTCATCCATTATCTCCTTTTTTCTCATTGTTCTATCTGTTTTTTTTTTTTTCTTTGATGTCTTAATTTATTTGGCTGCAATGAAATTTCATGTGTTGATAAGAGACTTTTGTGTTGGAAAGCCCATCAAGAGCAAATGGAGAAACCAACCAGGAAGAAAAGACTGCAGCAATCAATTCCGGTTTGTCCTCTTTTTTCCCATCGTTTTATTCTTTTTATTACTCTGTCTTCGTCATCTGTTTTTCTTTGAGAAGACGGAGGGGTTCGTTTATTTCCCTAGCAGTAATAGCTCAAGCAATCAGCCTATTTATTTGACTAGAAACTCAATTGATACTCAAACTTCATTAGACAACTCAAAGAAGAAGATTTCTAGTTTAGTTGATGAAAATTCTAACATAATCCTGAAGAAGAATAAAGATTTATGCTCAGGTCGTTACATTTATATTCATGATATTCCTATGAGATTCAATGAAGATGTGCTCAAAGATTGTCAGATGCTTACCAGGGCCACTGATAAATCCAGTATGTGTACATATGTAGAGAACTCTGGTTTTGGTCCTCAGATTGAAATTTCTGATGCTTTGAATTTATGGAAGAACAATTGGTTTTTGACAAACCAATTCTTGCTAGAGGTTATTTTCCATAACAGAATGAAGAAATACAAGTGCTTAACCAATGATTCCTCGGTCGCGTCTGCTGTTTTTGTGCCATACTATGCTGGTCTGGATCTTCGTCGCTATTTATGGGGATTCAATACTTCTGTGAGAGATTCATCAGGTCTTGATTTGGTTAAATGGCTTGCAGGACAACCTGAATGGAAAAGAATGCGGGGTAAGGATCATTTCTTAATTTCAGGTAGGATTGCGAAGGATTTCAGGAGAAAATCAAATAGGATGTCTGAGTGGGGTAGCAATTTCAGGTTCCTACCAGAGTCTGAGAACATGTCAATGTTAACAATTGAATCAGGGTCCTGGAAAAATGATTTTGCTGTACCATACCCAACATATTTCCATCCTTCAACAGATAATGAGGTTTTCCAATGGCAGGAACTGATGAGAAGACAAAATCGGCCTTACTTGTTCTCTTTTGCCGGCGCCCCAAGATCAAGACAGAAAGGTTCAATAAGGAGTGAGATCATCAGCCAATGCCAAGCTTCGAAGAAGTTGTGCAATTTACTAGACTGTGATTCTGTTGACCATAAATGTGATGATCCAGTTAATTTGATGAAGCTGTTTCAAAGTTCAATCTTTTGCTTGCAGCCTCCAGGGGATTCATTGACCAGAAGATCAACTTTTGATTCCATTTTGGCCGGTTGTATTCCAGTCTTCTTCCATCCAGGGAGTGCTTACTCACAATATGTATGGCATTTACCAAAGAATGACACCAAGTATTCTGTGTTTATATCACCAAAGAATTTAAGACAAGGAAAAGTTAGCATCAACCAGACATTGCTTCAAGTTTCGAAGGATGAAGAATCAGCAAAGAGAGAAGAGGTCATAAGATTGATTCCAAGGATTATTTATGCCCATCCCCCGTCTAGCTTGGAGACTATTGAAGATGCATTTGATTTATCAATCAAGGGAATTCTGAGAAGAATAGAGAGATTAAGAAAAGTGATTAGTTAAGGGTAAAAGTAGCCTCTGATTATAATTTAAAAACTTATTTCTAAATTTCAAAAGTTTTAAACTAATTGGAAAAACTTTTTTTGATAGTAATCCTATCCGAAATAGATGGTCAATAATTTTTTTCCCAGGTAATTGTTACACTCTTTATATATGTAACAAATTTTTTTGATACAAAAAAATTACAATATAAAAATATGAAAAAAATTATAAATATTTTAATTTTAATTTTAAATTTAAATTTATTGAATGTTATTTTTAAAAAATAATTATATAACACAATTGACTTAAATTTTGATATTGTACAACAATTTACTTTGATCATCAATATATGCCACTGCTACCATTTCTTCTTGAGCCAACAATGTTTTGGAATTTTTAGGCTTTGAAGGTCAAATTTATAACAAGAGAAACAAGGACGAAATCCTATCCGAAGTCTGATTCAAAACAAATGCATTTTGGAGAAGCAAATTAAACCCCACATCAAAGTAACGGAAAAGAGTATAGCACTATCTCAATTAGCCCTCCAAAGTTGACTTGTTTGTAATAGTTCCAAGGATACGAGAGAAAAAAATGGCAATGAGTATGACAGGCTCACAGATGCCAAAACTTCAATTTCCGAACCCAAAAATGTCTTAGCGCGTGGTAAAGTTTTCCAAGGTTCCATCAGGAATCAGCCACGGCCGCCCCGGGCCGTTTGACGTCTGATTATTTGTCTCACGTTACATTAGGAATACGAATGGTAGGGTTGAAAATTATTTGGATACGTGGATTTAATTTAATTTTTTAAATATTACATAATATTAAAAAGTTTTAAAATTTGATTTAATTTTAAATTAAATTTTGATTTTATTCGAATTAAATCGAATCAAATCGAATTTTTATTTTATTTAAATTGAATCGAATTAAATTTTATTAATTCAGTTTGATTTTATTTATTGATTTTTAAATTTAAAATTTTTAATTTTTATATATTATTTTAATATAAAATTTTAATATATTTAAATAAATTAATATAAAATTATTATTTTATTTTATAAAAAATTAATATATATATATATTAAAATATGTATAATTCGATTCGATTATATTTTTTTCGATTTTTTACTTGTCGATTCAAAATTTAATTCAAATTTAATATAACTCAATTCAAACAAAAAAATTAATTTGAATCGAATTAAATACTATAATTTTAAATCAATTTTTATTTATGTAATTTTTTTCTCACCTCTAAAAATGGAAATATGCAAATAGAGACTGGTTTTGTTTGTCTAAAACCATTACACTTAAAAAGATGTGAGTTAGAGTTATTACATTAAATCATATTTATTTTGAAAGAAAATTCCTAACTTAATTTCTTTACTATTCAACACACTAAAGTGTAATTCTTCTTTGTTTTCTTTTCTTTCACTCTTAAGAAATAATAAAATAAAAATTAGAATAAATAATAATAACTTTCAAAATAAAAAGTTTGACAACAATTTAATAAAGTTATAAAAGATATCACACTAATTATAAAAAGATAATTTTTTAAAATGCAACTAAATGAGAACTATGGAGACATTAAATTTCATATAATTAACCTTAACTCTTAAAAGGAACTAAAGTGATGATTTTAAATGTTTTTCATATTAAAAAATTTTAATATTTTTTATTTTTTTATAAAATTCTAATATTTGATAAATTAATTAGCATAGCTTTTAATTTTTAGAGTTATGGTTGACTTTGTAAATGATCACCTAATAATAATCATTCCAATGAAAATGAAAATTAAATCACATTAGTAATAACTTTTTAATAGAAAATTATTGATTTTTTTATATAAAACAATTTTAAATTAATAAATTATTTTAATTCATTTTTTAATTTAATAATTTTTTGAAAATTTTATTTTTATGAAATCAAAAACCAAGATTGAAAATATGTTACAAATTGATGAACATGTTACTTTGAATAATTTAATTGGGGTTGATAAAATCTGTTTTAATTTGAACAATTTTTTCAAATTCAATTTGATTTAATTTTAAAAATTGATAATTTAAACTAAAAATGAGTTAAACTCAAATAACTAAAACGTTAAACATGAAACTGAAATAATCTCAAAAATTAAACCCTTCATGGTCCAAATCCACAAATAATTTCAATCCAAATTTTTTTAATACCCGACCCGAACCCGCACGTGGTACCGCCCGTTGTCACCTCTAAATTTACAATTAAAAAACAGCTGTCTGAATTTTTCCTTTAGGCAACTCGAAGCTTCTCCGATTGACCCTCCCTAGTCCTTTCTCTACCCAAAAAAAGAAAAAAAGACCTCCCAAAATGGACGCAAACGCACCCTCCGCATCGGCGTCCGGCGGTGGTGGAGGCGGAGGAGGGCCTGCACCTTTCCTTCTTAAGACATACGAGATGGTGGACGACTCTGCTACCGACGATATCGTGTCATGGAACTCCAACAAAAAGAGTTTTGTGGTTTGGAACCCTCCTGAATTTGCCCGCCTTTTGCTTCCCACCTATTTCAAGCACAACAACTTCTCCAGCTTCATCAGGCAGCTTAATACCTATGTGGGTTTCTTTTCTTTTTGCTTTGCTCTGCTTTGCCTTTTAAAGCCTTCTCTTTGTTTTTTTTTTTAATTAATTTATCTTGATTTAATTCTTTGATAATTTGGGAAAATTATGGGTTTAATTTAGTTTTAATTACATTTTTTTTTTTGACAATTTTGTGATAGCAAATATATGGGAGTAATTAATTTATATTTTTGTTCTTTAGAATTGGGGATTTTATCCATTTTTTGTTCTTTTCTGACAATTGATTAATCAACTTTGATTTCAAACTGATTATGGATATCAATCTTTGCCTAAAGCTGGCACATAAATTTAAGGTCAACCAAAGTCTTCTGTTGTCATCATAAGATAAATTCTATGAGAATTGGGGTGTTTTCTTGGTCAATGAACTATAGAGGTGAATCAATCTTGTATAGAAAATGTGGGGATTGTAAATAAGTCTTTTCGATTTTAGAATTTAAGAATTTTCGGTGTAACTGTTTCAGATTTTCATTTTGCTTTCCTGTGCATTTCTCCTAAGAATAACGGAAACTCTTTTTCTTAACCCTCAACCAAAATATGCCTACTTTTTTAATGTAGTGAAGAGAATCGATTCTTCAGTAAGGTATCACTTGTGTGTTTATCTTTAATGCATAGGGCTGTTGAAAGAATAACATAGATTTCTAGTACCATAGTTTGCTTAGGTTAGATATATGAGTGTTCAAGTGCCTAAGCATGATATGAGTGCATATGAATTTAATTTGGTGACAGGGGTTCCGTAAGATTGATCCTGAAAGGTGGGAATTTGCCAATGAAGAGTTTGTGAAAGATCAAAAGCATCTTCTTAAGAATATCCACCGTAGAAAACCTATTCATAGCCACAGTAATCCTCATGGTTCTTTGATAGATCCAGAAAGAGCTGGATTTGAAGAAGAAATAGACAAGCTTTCACGTGAGAAAGCTGCACTTGAGGCTAATGTATTGAGGTTTAGACAAGAGCGATCAGCTGCAAAGCATCAGATAGAAGAGCTGACACTGCGAGCTAATCAAATGGAGCGGAGGCAGGAGACTTTGTTTAACTTCTTACAAAAGGCTGCTCAAGACCCTTCTTTTGTTGAACATCTTGTTCGTAAGATTGAATCTATGGATGTTTTAGCATATAATAAGAAAAGACGACTGCCTCAAATTGATCAAACCAAGCCAGTTGGAGAAGATAGTCCTCTGGACAACAAAAGTAGTTCTGCATCTGAGTGTGGAAATATTTTCCACCAAGATTTCTCAAACAAGCTAAGACTAGAATTGTCACCAGCTGTTTCAGATATTCACTTGGTTTCTCAAAGCACACAAAGTTCTAATGAAGATGGAGCAAGTCCACAGAGAAGGATATCTGAAGGAGAACCAAAGGATGCTTATACCAGACCAGAGGGCCTTTTATTCACACCTGAAACATTAGACATTTCAGATACGGGCACATCTTTTACATTCAAAATGGATTCATCCTTCACTCAAAGAGCATCAATGAATGAAGGCCCAACAGTGCATTCCCTGCAACAGAGATTAAATTCCAATGAAGAACCTGATAGCCATATTTCCTGTCAATTAAATCTAACACTGGCATCTTCTTCATTGCAAGTCAATAAAAGTCCTAGCTTAACTAGGATGTCCCAACTAGGTCAGGAAATTGGAAAAGACTTTGAGTCAAGGTCTAATGCCAACACTAAAGAAGGCCCTAATACAAATCAAGAGCCTGCAGCTCCTCCAGTTAGAGTGAATGATGTATTTTGGGAACAGTTCCTCACTGAAAGACCAGGTTCCTCTGACAATGAAGAGGCCAGTTCCAATTATCGAGCAAACCCATACGAAGAGCAAGAAGACAAAAGATCGGGCCATGGACCAGCAAGGAATGCTAAGAACATGGAGCAGCTTAGTCTTTGAGCAGCAAAGTTGCCAACTTTTCACAAATCCAGTGTCAAGTCTACAAAGGTCTCTCTTATTCCTTTTATTGTACTGTGATATTAATAGTTAACACATATATAGGATATGATAGTATATGTAACTGACTAAAATTGGTTTGAATAAAATGATGTTGAATTCCATTTGTTTGGTTGCATCATGTTAGTATAAGTGCTTGAATTGTAGAGATAACAACCTTTTGTCATTAGTAAAATAAAAAAATTATTTAGTTGTACCATCTAGTTGTCAAGGTTTCAGTAACTAAGCAACAGAAGCATTTCTTTTGAAACTGAAGTAATCCGCTTTTTCTTTTTCCTGTGCCAAAACTGTAGTCTCCTCTTAGCATTGTATTTCACTTAATTTTCCTAAGTTTTCAGTAACTAGAACTATCATTTTTGGCAAATTGACACAGAATTAATGTTTCTATCTTAAGATGTCCATCTGACAGTTCATCTCATACGTTTTGGTAGTGTTGTTTTTGTCACATCAGTCTTGAGATATCATATTTTTTTATTCCTTTTGACTGATTGATTTATAGATTATTCATTAGTTTGTGCAGTGAATGTTATGCATGATACAAGATCTTCAATCTTTTGAGTAAGTAGGATTCATCTGAAAAATTACATTAGCTTAATGCAGCAATAATGTGATTAGTGATTGGTAAAATTAAAAAAAAATGGAAAACTACCTTTGCTTCTGTGTTTGTTGGATTTAGAGTGAAAGGGTCAACTGAGTGTTAAAGTCAAGCATTACTTAATCTAACTACGTCTTGGCTCTAGCAAGCAATTAAGGATGAGTTGGCCCTGACAGTTCAATTAGAAAAGAAAAGGTTGGCTTTGACAGGCTTTCTGGAGAATAAGAATGAATATATACCCTACAGTGGATGGACCTTAAAAGTAAATACCTAGAGTAAGATCTTGTGAAAAGTATGATTAGACAACCCAAGTGCACACACATGCTTTTATTCTTCTATGGCATTGGTGAAATGTTCAACTTAGGTAACAAATACTGCTTCGATCAATAACCACTAAAAGGAAAACAAATGCTGCTTCTATGCTTTTGTCAGAATACTAAACTGAGATGACCAATTTTTTTATTAATCTGTAAGGGATTCCTGGGCTTTAGTATAACTCTGTAAATAATTTGTTACAAGAAAAGAAGGCCTTGGAAGACCTTGGTGCTCATTTCAATAAGCAAAAATCTCAATTTAGTAGAACAAAATCTTAGACCTCCATTTTCTTTCCCGTTCTTGAAACAAACCACCATGGGTACCTCTTAGAAACCTAGAGATAAAAGTGATGAGAAAATGAAATTAAGAGAGTGACACGAGAGAAGAATAAGAAGAGAACAGGTACATATCATAATGTTAGATAACTGGATCTAGATAACAAAGAGCCCCAAAATTTATGGTAGCAGTTTTGGATAATGTGAAGTTCCAGATTAAGATGATGACAGCGGTTTTTTTATTATTAGAAACAGAATGGATGAAACTTTGATGACTTATGCTGGTGTGCATGCTTGTGAAAATATCATAGTTCATGAGTTTGAAAGCATTAAGAAAGGATTGGAGCTTGAAACCCAAATCGGGCTAAAATTGATGGTTGTGACTATTGACTCTAAGAATGATACTGAGATATTTCAAAAGAAAGAAAGCAGGCTGCAACAAGTAGGTTATTATTGGGATGTATCAAGTGTTGTATGGATTTGATCATCATTTTGTGAAATGTGTCACAGATTATGCCGGTATGTTAAATGATAGGGCAGTGTAATCTTGTCTACTTGTGAATTGCCTGAGTGGCAGATATCTAAGGAAGGGAAACATTCATTGAGATGATATTAGAGTGGCTATGGTGTACATCAAGGGATACAGTTGAATTTGTGACGGTTGAAGCCACTGTTTTTAGATAGTTATAAAGCAGATTTGTTTAAAAGAGTACATATGAAATAATGGTATCAAAATTTATCATTAAATTTAAGCATAAACTTAGAGAACTGGTTTTAATAAACTTCAATTAGTGAAAGATGATTGCAACATAACTCTCAAAAGATGAGCATTCTTGATCATTTTAGGTTAGGGTTTCTAAAAAGAATTCCAGCAGCCCAGCTGGTGCTTAGCTCCAACGAGCCAAATTGCTGGCTCTCAATCGTTTAATTCTCACTTTTATTATTTCTTCAAGTTTAAAGTTAGTATGAACAGAATTAAAAAAAAAAAAAAAGAAAAGGTTTAACGTTACATTCGCAGCTAAGCTGGAGATGTGTATCCCACTTTTTTTTTAACAAAAGAGGTCGTGGAATGTGAATAGAGAAAAGGGTTGTAGGTATTGGAATTTCAACTTCAGACGTATTAAACGACACTTTTTTAAGTGAACGAATGAATAAACTAAACTAAACTTCCGAGTCAAAGTCTCTCCCTTGTTCATATGCAATTATTGGAGTTTTTGTCTAGTGAAACACTACAATGTAGAGTGGGAAAAAGAAAGATTTATTACAATTTCCTTGGTAATTGTGAGGAGAAACAACTATGACATGCTAAGGCCTAGTAAAATGAGAATCCTAGGCAAACAAGAAAACCAGAAAACATATTGCTGAGTAAAAGAAATGACAGACAAGAAAACCAGTTAATAGATACTACAATAAAATGGATGGAATGTCAGCTAGCACTATTGGCAAACATAGATTTTGCCTGATTAATGCTGAACACTCTGGAATTAGGAAGACATCTATCCAACACAGATTGAAATGTTTTAGACTAGTGTGAACTCAAGCACTGCAACGAATCGAATCTGCCTAAAGTTGCAACTTAGTATTTGCAAAACTCAAATGAAAGAATGTCAACTAGGAGGTACAACATGAGATAGAATTATTACATTTTGAACCCAAAAAGCAAGAACATCCTGGTTTTTGATTCCCACCTAATTTGCTTGGTCCTGTCCACAGGTGGAAATGCTAAATGGGTCGCAATAATAACTATCCCACTGCCTACTAAAGGTGCTCAAATATGATGGATGTTTTTTCCATCTCCAATAATTATGTGATCTGTTGATAAAGGAATGGTCTCTTAGTTTCATTAATTAGAGTTCGATCTCTTGTGACAACCTCAAACCAAGAAAAAAAAAGACAATCTCCAGTTTTATTCTAGAGTGCAAAAACATGTTAGCTTTACCTAGTTGAATTACATTTTCATTGGATTTTATTCCTTTCTTTTTGTGCAAAACAGATGGATCACATCATCCTTCTCTGGAGAGATTTAGCTGACAAGAAATGAATAGAATTTGTTGTATTAGTTGTCATTTTCTTGTTTAATTGAAGAGGTGATTAGATCATCCTGTTTCTATGTATTTATAGCAGTGGGTCAGTGAGTTTCCCATGGAATTAAGATGGTAGTTGTTGCCTCAATGGAGGGTACCTTACCTTTTATGCGCCCCCCACCTTCCATTGATAATAGAGGTTTTGCGCAATGCACCATGCCGGAAGGATATTTCAGATAGATTGCAATTTATAATATAGATACACTTTTAATTTGAAGTCTTACTGATTTTTTTATCCGATGCCTTCTAGATTCAATCCAATTTACAAATCAAACCTGAAAAACCTTCAATTTAATCGGAAAAACGGAGATTCGAACCTAACTCTCCCGCGTGGGAGAGCCTGTGCCTGTTCTATGGTACGAAATGGGAGGGTACTCATTAAAATCTATTTATTTAGTTAAAAATTATATGGGTACTCATTTCAAAAATCCGATTCTAACTTGAATTCAATATTAAAAAATTTTAATTATTTTTGCATATTTCATTAATCAAAATTAAATTAATAAATTTAAACATATATTTTATATTTTAATAGTTTATAAATTTCAGCAAATGATTTTTCAATTAAGAAATATATACATTAAAAGTAATATAAATATTAAAATTGCATTTATTTATAATCGAATTTGAATAACAAATACCCAAAATTTATTACTCGTACCTTACAATATATTCATTTAGTGTCTCATTTATAAACTACCCGTTACCATCCTACAATCAAAATATGTTTCCATTCATGACATGTTTTTATGATTATAAAGTAATAATTTCTCCATTTCATTGGGTCCATATTCAATTTGGGAGGTTCATTGGTTGATTTATGAGAATGAGACCTATTTAAATCCCACATGCAGAAAAGCTGATAGGTTGAGGGGCAGCGACAGTGAGTCTAAGCATGGGCGCCATAGCTGCTAATATTTGGTGATGTGAAAACAAGGGAAAAATGACAAACTGAGGACTCCATCACACCAATTTCATCTATTATTATTTTCTTCACGAGACTAATGAAGCCAAATTTTTTTTTCACGAGGATAACAAGAAAAAAAAAAAAAAGCATTCATATCAACAAAAACTTTATTGTGTACTAATGTAAAAGAAAGATATGCTCTTTTCTTCATTGTTAGCAGGAACGAGGGACGATGCTAGAGGATACAGACAACACCACGTCTTTTCAAAATTTTTTATTTTATTTAATTACTATTTGATTTTTTTTTCTAATTTTTTATTTTCGCATTTAATTAGAAGAATTTAAATTCGTTGAAAAATTATGAGAAAAACTTTTATAAATTCATTAAATTTGACATAAATATATTTATTTAAATCAATAAAATGTATATTAGACAAAATCCAAATACTCCTTATTAGCTAAAAAAATTTCTTAGTGTTTGTGGTTAACAGCTCTCCAATTCTTGAATCAACAACACACTGCATATAATTAATGCCTATTCATTAATAATCAAAACACATTTAAAATTGATTTGGCATAGTACTATATAGTTTCATGCTTTTTTTTTCTTTTTTTCTGTTTTAGCTTATGATTCATTGGCAAAAGGGTGAAGGAAATATCAAAAAGAAAGGAATAAAGAATCGAGCTATTTTTTTTTTCCATTGGAATTTAATAAGAAGTACTCTATACAAATACTGTGATGGTAAATTTTATAAAAGGTCACCTAATTTATATTTAAATCTTATTTAAGTCATTAAATTTTAATTTATTTCATCTAAATCATTAAAATTTGTTAAAGTATATTAAAATTGATCACCCTAATAAATTCTATTCAAATTTGAACAAAAAAATGATATGATTATTATGTCATTAGCCTGTCACATCAACTAATTAAATTCATATAATCTCATAAAAAGTTATTAAGTTTTTATTAAATTTTCAAATAGGTCACTAAGCTTTAATTTATTACTGTAAAGTCACTTAAATTTGGGGTAAAATACATTTAGATATTTAAGTTTTAAGCATAATTTAACTCAAGTCTATTGGTTTGAGAAATAGATATTCTGTCCAAAAAATTTTCAATTAATAGGACACTAAAGTGCTTCTGTCTGTTTAACTCTATTAAAAAACTCATTAAAAAATCATTTTATTCTTAAAAAATCAACATACTCAAATATTCATATAAAATAATTTTTTATAATAATAATTTTTTTCTTAAAATATATAAAATATATTAATAATATATTAAAAAAATTTTAGGTTCAATATATTAAAAAAAATTCACAATCACAAATAATATTTTTTTCAATCAAATATTTTTTCTGATTACATGTTACATGTTCTTATTATAACATTTTTTATTATAAATTTTATTTTTATATATTGCACCTAAAAATCTTTTTATATATTACTAATATATTTTTATATTTTAAGAAAAAATTATTATTATAAATAATTATTTTATGTGAGTATTTGCTTATTATATTTACATTTTCTTATAGATGCAATATATAAAAACAAAATTCACAATTATAAATAACATATTTTTCAACCAAATATTTTTTTCCTATTATATGTCACATGTTCTTATTATAACATTTTTTTAATTAAAATTTTTAAATTTTGTTTTTATATATTGCACCTAAAAATCTTTTTATATATTATTAATATATTTTATATATTTTAAGAAAAAAATTATTATTATAAATAATTATTTTATATGAGTATTTGCTTATTATATGTTGCATGTTCTTATTATAATATTTTTTTATTATAATTCACAATTATAAATAACATTTTTTTCAACCAAATATTTTTTCTTATTATATGTTACATATTCTTATTATAATATTTTTTCTTATTATAATTCACGATTATAAATAACATTCTTTTTCAACCAAATATTTTTTCTTATTATATGTTACATGTTTTTATTATAACATTTTTTCTTATTATAATTTTGAATTTTGCTTTTATATATTGCAACTAAAAATCTTTTTTATATATTATTAATGTATTTTATATATTTTAAGAAAAAAACTATTATAAATAATTATTTTATGTGAGTATTTGCTTACTATATTTTACATGTTATTATTATAACATTTTTTCTTATTATAATTGTGAATTTTGTTTTTATATATTTCATCTAAAAATCTCTTTTTTATATTATTAATATATTTTAAGAAAAAATTATTATTATAAATAATTATTTTATGTGAGTATTTAAAGATATAATTTTTCAAGGGTAAAATTATCTTTTAATAAGCTTTTTAACATATAGAAGGATGTCTTATTAATTAGAAAATTTTAGGTCGAGATGTCTATTTTTCAACTAATAAATTTGAGTTGAATTATTCTTAAAATTCAAGGCTCTGAATGTATTTTACTCTAAATTTTGTCATTCTAATAAATTTTATCTAAAATAAAAATTAGATAAAATTTAAATATTGAAATCAACCAAATAACATCCAAAATTTCTATGTAACTAAAAATACTCTCATACCCCATAGAAAATCAAAAGAAAAAAATAAATAGATTTTATTTAACTTTTATTTTGGATGAAATTTATGAGAATGACCAAATTTGATACATTTAACAAATTTTAGTGACATTGTATTAACAAATTAAAATTCAATGACTTATTTAAAAATTGCATGAAAGTTTAATGACCTTTTATGAAATTATATGAGTTTAATTAGCTAATGCGGTTGACGATATGGCAACCATGTCATTTTTCTATCAAAATTTGAATAAAATCTATTAAAATAATCAATTTTAGTATATTTAACAAACCTTATTGACTTAGATGGAACAAATTAAAATTTAGTAACCCAAATAAAAATTGATTAGAAATTGGATGACCTTTCATGAAATTTACCCACATTACAAATATTCAATGTATTTTGGATCAATAATAATCATCATAGTCCAGGATCATATATTTATTTGTATGTCAAAAAAAATATATATATATATATATATTTATACGTCTCCGAGAAATAGATTACAAAGAAAAAATTTAGATAAATTTTTATAGTAAACTTTGTAAAACTTTTTATTGAAATTTTTATTATATAGATTAATTGTGTAAAATTTAATAAATTTTGATATATTTTTTAGATAAATATTTTTAGTAAAAATTTTGATAAAGTTTTTACAATTGAATAAGTATCAATCAAATTTAAATTATAAATTATATTTTTAATAATTTATATATATAATTAATTTTCACATTAAATTTTAACAATTTATTGACTTAAATTTTTTATTAAAATTTTTATTAGATCAAGTTTTAAAAAAAAATCACCAGTTTTACTTAAAAAATTTTATTTAAGTTTTATTCTAAAATATAAATATTAAAATTTGAATATCAAATTTATTAAATACTCTATGTTACAATTGAATGAATTCTTGAATTCTAAACTAATTATATTTGAAATAATCTTACTAATGCTATCATATATGATAATATTTAATATATATTTAATGGTATAAATTACAATCATATTTATCAAATTTAAAAATTCTATCACCGATAAAAAATAGTAATAGTAATTTTCTTACAAAACATTAAAGAAACTCGCGAATATTTTCTCTGGAAACATACTTATACATGATTTTTAAATCATTCTTTGAACATTGCAAAAAATGGGACATGATTCTCCCCATAAAAAAAAAGAAAAAGAAAAAAAATGTTATATATATATATATATATAAATATGGAAGATGAGTGTCAATTTTTTAAAGAAAAAAATGCTACATATTTGACATTTAATCAGAATTTTTTTAATCATTTACCCCAAAGAAAGGGAAAAATTTGAAAGAGACCTCACTCTTTACTGTATTTCCAAGCAAAGTGTGATGATTTGATTGGTAACATAAAGGCCTGTAAGCATGATACTGTTTCCATGTCTCTTCCACATCCATCACCCCTCCGACTACCCAAAAAACTCTTACTTTCAGTCCATAGAGCTTAAAACAGACCGACATAACCCCAAACTAAGTTCAGAAACCTCCAAATCCAACACCCCAGAATGCCAATACTCAAACTCCTCTTCACCACCCTCTCTCTATCCCTTCTTTTCCTCCAAACTTGTGATGCTGTCTCAGTTTCAGAGCTTGACAATGCACTGAAAACCAGTGATGTTGATGTCATGGAGAGAAGAGTTTGCACCAAAAAGCTTGAAGATTGTTTAGAAGAGCAGGAAATGGAGTCAGAGAGCAACAGGAGAGTGCTGGTGATGCAAAGAAGGTACATTAGCTATGAGACACTGAGGAGGGACATGGTCCCATGTGCAAAACCTGGTGCTTCTTACTATGATTGTAATGCTGGTCAAGCAAATCCTTACAACAGGGGTTGTGAGGTTATTACAAGATGTGCTAGAGGTATCAAAGATATCAAAACCTGAAAACCCAAAATTGAAGTTTCACTGTAACAGCTGCTTTCTGCAAGTGGTAATGTCTTTGTGCTGGGTTTTTTTGGGGGGTTATGGTTGTATATTAAAGATTCTTACTTTTAATTTTCTATATATAAATGCATTTTAAAGAAAATTGACTTTGTTCTTGTCAGGGAAATTATGAATAATGTATGTAATCTTCACTTTTGGTCTTGTTTTCTGAATATCTTTCCAGTAAGAGAATAGGGGATAACCTGGAGTAGTTACTGGCCTTTAACATAAACAGAGAAATTTTCGAGATTGCAAAATCTTGGTTGTCAAGATGTTCTACATTTAAATCAGCTACTTCAATTTTCCTTATTAAAACCCCAATAATGATTACCTAAAATGTAAATTTTCTCCATTATTTGTTTAACTTTTTCTGCTGAAGAAAGAAGTCTACCCTTTTTCTAATGGTAAACTCATGCATCTCTCCAGCCTGCCGTATTCCATAGACTGAGTAGATATAATCCTTAAGTCCAACCCCTCCTTTGAAAAAACAACACTTGATACCCCACCACGTAAGATAAAATTCATTAATTCAAGAGCATGGCTTGCTGTTGTAAGGGTTGTACAGGTTTCTGCTATATTGCTTAAATCAATTAAAGTTCTTTATTCATTCAAGTAGAAATCAAAATGATGCCTAGCTGTGAAGGGATCATTGTAATTTTCTCATTTATGGTAGTGCATAATCTCATCAAAACTATAAATAGGTGACTAATTTTTTGGGTTACCTGCCTCGAGTTCAGTTTAGCAATGTGGTCCATCCTGTTTTCCTCTAAGCCCCAACATAAATGCAGGAATTTTCTTTCTCCCACAGTTAAAACCAGCAATTTGGTTAGAGGAATTTCATTTCATTTTAACTTTATGTGTGTGCAAAATTTCTACCAGCTTTGATCATCACATGGAGGTAGTGACATTAAAATCTCATACAGTGTCATTGTTACCTAGTTGGTTCTTCACACTTATTCTTGCCTGTTAGTGATTTCTTTTCTTTCTCTCTTTCATTCATTTAGTTGAATTTGATATTCTATCCCTTTGGGAGTTTTCTTTCATTTTTATTGAATTTAAAGTCATTGAACTGATTCTTCCCCAACAAATACTCATGATCATAATTGTTTGTAGACCATATAGTTGCATGAGATGTTCATATGAGTTAAATTTTCTCTCAATGTACTACAAGAAGATTGGATTTAGAAATAGGAAGTAAAGAATTGTATCAGATTCCAAGTTTATGCCATGTTGTAACCAATCACTAAGAATAAGGTTGGTTATTCCTAATATTAAACTCCCTGCAGTATTTTTTTTTTCAAAGAAGGAAAAAATTCCTTGCAGCAGTTGCACATCTTTTTCATTTCCTTTGTGGATTATTATCATCTGCAATGCAAATCAGCAGCTAATAAGTTCTTCATCCAGATAATGTGGGTTAATCAGGCAAATTATGACTATCATTCAACTCAAATTTTACTAGAATAATGTCACTGGCTTTAGTTGTTTGTCAACATTCTTTCTTGTTTTACTGGAGCGTTCTTATGATCAGTTCTTAAACCAGCATTGTTCAAACTTTTTGTGATTTCGTTTATTCTACATTTAAGGCTTATTTATAAACTACTATAGTGATCTACATTAGAAATTGTTTTACTGAATTATTTGTGTAATGCTATTCAATAAGCAAAAGGTTGGGAGGTTTGCCTAATGATCTGGCATACTTTTGTTTCAATATTGTCGTAATCCATTGTTTTAAATTTTTTATGTTGATCTATGCAAAGAGAGGTTAATTATAATAAATTATCATCGGTATCTTAGCCTATGGATTTTGTATTATTGAAGTGAGTTCAGGATCATGAAATAATCTGGCCACCGGTTGGTGGAGATAACAAGAACTTTTTCAGTGTTAGTTTGAGGTAAAAGTTTCATATTGCTAACTTTCTTATGATCCGTTTGAATTTCAGTGCATCTCATAATATTGAACTCAATTATTGTTTCCATCTTCTTGCAGGAAGGATAACCTACAACATAAACCAAGCTGAGCTCCAGAGATGCTAAGACCTGAACATTACTCTTCTTCTGCAGCGTTGCGCCCACAATTATCGTTCCTTTGTCTGTTACTCCTCTCTTTTTAGGCACCAATCAGTTCAGTTCATCATTATACCAAGTTTTGATAAACTGATCCACTTCCTATGCAATGCACTATCCTTAAATGCTGAAACACATTGCTTTCTATCATGTTCTCTTCTTCAGTGCACTGTTTTTAGTGCCATCGGCTATTCCCACTGTCAATGGTTGATATCGATTTCCTTTCCCCCCACCTCCCACTGCAACCTCGATTCTTTTTGTAGAAACCATAACTTACCAAATGGTAAATCTTAAATTGTGCTGCGTTAGTTTGTAGACGAGCTAGTAAAATGTGCACTTAACCTTTGGGAAATGCAGGTTCCTCCTGGAAGCCACGATTTAGTAAAGCTCTGATGCACATATTATATGATACCAGTGACGGTATGAGGTTGTTTTCGGAAGTTGAAAAGGTCAAAGTGTTCAAGTTTTACACTCTCAATCTACGGTAGTAATCTTTTTTTTTTTTTAAACAGGGATTAGAACAGTGCTCTTTGAACATGAGATTATACATAAATCATCGCGTCAAATACTTCGTAGAAAAATCTATTTTATGGTATAATGCCTAAAAGACAGTATCAAAATCTTTGACATAGTGACAATTTGTAGGTATGTACTCTAATCCAAATGAAGTTGTTGCTTCTTAAATAAGTTATTTCCTCTGCTGAATATAGCTGCAATCTCTGAACATATTCTCCTTTGCTTGCTTTGTCCTTTTTGCTTTACCTATTGCTCAGACAAGAAGAGATAAAACTAAGAACAACCCACAAACCACAACCAAGAAAGACTAAACAACAAAAGAAAACAAGCAGGTCCAGAAAGCAGTACCAGAAAAAGAACAAGTAGAAGAAAAATTGAAGAAGAAGACATCTGGTCTTAGAATGGCTGTAGGGGGCCTCATGTCGGCATTTAAGCGTGGAATACCGAGAGATAGTATGCCAGGCCAGGTGGGACAACAGCCCATTTAATTGGACAATCCCCTTTCAACAACCTGCAGTGCTCTCCCCCTTCCCCTGCCTTGTTTACCCTTCTGCAGCCGGGTGTGGTATCATTATGTTAAAAGAATCTATCCCCCTTCTTCTTACCAAATGGAAAGTAAAAGAACCTGCCAAATGTTTTATAACAAGAAAATTCGAAGTTGGCAGGACCAGCATATCTATCTCAAGGGAACTTCTCCCTTCTATAAGTAGGATAACATATACACCTATATCAGGTTCTCTCATAAGCTCTCTTCTTCCTCTTTAATTATCTTAAGCTTCCAAGTGTTTATGTCAAGCAAAACCCCGACGTCCACTCACAATGGTTTGATCTCGCAGGAAAAGCAGTTAGTTCTTGCTTGTATAATAGCACTGGAGTCCTTGGTTAGCCTATGCTGCTGCAATGCATAGGTGGGATTCAGTTCCTACAACGTGACGTGCTAAATTCCTCTCCCCCAGCCCATACTCCTTCCACATTTTGGTGCGACAACTTAAGAGTTACTTATGTGGCAAACAATCCAATGGTTCATGCCCAAATAAAGAGAGAGGATTATATGAATCGGCATGTTATTTCCATTCACGACTTGGTCTTGTAATTCTCATAGTTTATTTTATGTAACCAAACCCAATTCAAATTCGAGCTGTATCGAGCCCACAACTTGGGCTTGGACCACAAAATTTTTCATGACTAGGATCATCCTTGACAACAATGTCAATTTGGGGCAATCTATGTAGCACGGCAGGATATGTAATGTGAATTTAGAAGAGTAGATAGACAAGACTAATGTTGTTGGGAAAGGAAACCATCATTTTTATTCTAAAGAGAAAAGGTTAAAGGAAAAGGTGGTCTGAAACATCTCCTTGATCTGTCATCAGTCATAATTTAGGGGCAAGGAAATATGGCTTGGATTTATGCCTTGGAGACTGAGAAAAAAGCAAACCTCAAATGAAATTATAATGGGAACCATATTAGCCTGTAAAAAGAAGGCATGAGTATTGCACCGTGAAACCTCTCAACCTTGAAAATTAAAGGATGATGATAGTTGATTTGTCCCTTTATCCTCCATATTATCTCCAGCCTAGTTCGTTTTCACTGGAAAAATCTTACTAAAGAGATTGCTTCTTTGATGGATAATAAAGCCAAAGGCGGCCTGAATTTTGGTTTGGTGGGGGCGAGACAGGGGAACGCTAGATGCTGACATGAACAATATGCTACCGCCACCATGGAAATATCTCATATAAAAAAGGAAAAACCTACCACCAACAACTTCTTTTTGGTCCTAAACTCCACTCCACAAATATCCTAATGTCAAAAGGGTATTTTTCCACTAAGAAATTTCCAATATACCATTAAATCCAGTTGTATATGCATCTGGCTAGTTGGCAAAGTTGGTTGTTAAAACACCTAACAGGTAGGGTGGAATTTGGTATTAAAAAAATTAAAGCACAAAAAAAATCATTAAATATTACAAAGCTTACTAAATACTAGTTAGCAGTAAACAAATTTATCCATTTCAAAACAAAACAGGGTAAATTGAATAACCAGAAAAAACCTTTTGCTGGTTTCCACCAAAGTGAAATCATATATATTTTACATGATTCATGTCAATTTGCTCCTCTTTTGAATCCTTAAATTCGAATTCAGTTAGGAAAATATAATAGGTAATTTTTCATAAATTATTAAAGCCAACGTATACCAACCGAAAAAAAAAGGAACAAAAAAATTCATTTATAATTTTCAGTCAGCCAAAAAGATTAAAATCGTTTTTAGTATGGATATAAAATGTAATTTCATCGTTTAAGGCATGTTTTTGTAACAACATTGAGTGTCAATTTAGAAAATAGTGAAAGTAACAGCAAATTGCTTCTTTTTTTCTGTTTTTCGATAGTTAAATTGATAACCAGATGCAGCAAAACTTGACTGCATCAATGGCAATGCCAATATCATCTACCACACAGCCCCAACACCTTATTCAAACCCATCTGGTCTTCTTCGAGGAGAGACCAATCCTATTCTTTTTCCCCCCAAAACTTTCCAACCACCAACACAAAACTCCTACAAAAATCAAAACCTAATAATCTAACCACAAATCATCAATATATTGTAGTAAAAAGAAACAATCAAACCATCCGAAATGTATTGTTTTTCTCCTGAAATTCTCTCCTCAGTACCTGTAGTGAGGAGGCTTGTAAGGACCTTCGATGGGCACGCTAATGTAATC